TATTGTATCCCACTGTACTTAGCTTGAATTCCTAGCAAATCAAAAACCCTCCATATATATATATATATAAATGATATCACATTCTTAAATAGCTCCCAGCTAAGACTTTTCATGAGAACTATTTCAAACTGAACTAATTCAATCGTTTGTAATAGAAAGATAACACAACACATCTTTCTAATTCAAAGTCTACTGAAGTGAGTCTACTTGAAAATAAGCAGTACTATGGACACTGATTTTTCATAATGCCACTCTTCTTGAAACCTCAGTGAAAGTTGTGGATACTCAGCATCATTTAAAATCAGGCCTTAGGTTTTGAAATAAGTTTCAGGCATAAATAAAGTAATTCTGTCTTTTTAATGGTCTAAAAGCAATTAGAAAGCTAAAAAGCTTGAAAGTTCTATTGAATGAAAAATTGACATTGTAGGAATAAAAATTTTAATACAATTCCACTTTATCTTAATGCATAATTTAAAGAAAGGGTTTTTTTGTGTTGTTTTGTTTTTACTAGTAAGCAATAAGATTCCATTTATAAAATGAAATCAAATCTTCTTAGTCTGAATAACAAACACAAGCAATACAAGCTCCAGATGATTACATTAAACAATAAGTACATACAATAAGTGAACATCAGTAGAATACAGTCATTTATATAAATTCCAGATAATAAATATTGCTAACTTTTGAGTTAACATTGTTGGGCTCACATACCACTAACACAAATTATTAAAAAATAATAATAATAAGCAATTAAGTTATCAATACTCTAGCTACTCTTCATTCAATGATTTCCTTTCCCTTGCTCACCTAGATCCTTTCCAAGACCAACAGTCACTCATCTCCATCCTGAACCATGAGCAAACACCTTTCAATTTTCAGTAACATCTTCTGGTTAATTGTTAGTGTTTTTTAAAGATCAAGATAGTGTTTCTCAAGAAAACACAACTTGGAGAGAATAGAGTAATTTAGTTAGTTAATCTTTACATAAGACAAAGCAATCATTTGGAACTAGAGAAATCACTTGGCATATATTGAAAGTGGCCCATGCATAATCAGAATGCATGCTGGTCAAATTTGTAAAGAACCCCAATTGCTTATTGGTAGAAAATATAAGAGGAAAAAAAGGGAAAAGATTCAAAAGGGAAGCTCTTCAATTTATTTGAGGGGAGTGGAGGAAAAAGGAGGGGAGGAAGGGAATTCTATTGTCCTCTGAAGCCCTTTGTACTAAATTTACCTGTATAATAAAAGGATTTTATCTCTGCTCCAGATAGAAATCGCAATGATACCATAACTGTAGAGTCACCATTGACAATCTTATAATGCTACGTACCATCAGAGTCTATGCTGTTTAGAGCTGTGGGAGGTATGATGGATACTTTACATTGGCCAAGCGGACACTTACGAGGATAAAGATCTCTACAGGCAGTGTGAACCTTTAAAAAAATTAAAAAAGAGGTATCAAATAAATAATTATTTCTTCAATATATCATCTGATTAGGATGATACTGATACAGCAGCTAGGTAACCGATAAAGACAAAGTAATGTGCAAGAAACTTGGAATGCTGTTATACACACTGGCCTGTATACTGTTTAATTATCAGGTTTTTAACTAAATATTAATTAACTATGATACTTAAAATTCTGCAGATTTACTATTTCTAAAGCCTAAGCCAGGCTTCAAATGACAAAAGGGTGACTAGCAAAAGATAAAAGCCTCAAAAGAAGTACTGCAATTACATGGTAAAAGGACAAGCAACAAGATAATGACAGTTAATTTAAATCTATAACACATGGAGGTAAGAAAGAGTAATAGATTCATACAAATACAAATATAATTGTCTTAGCCTAAGAGAAGAAAAGACTAGGAAAGGAAAATTATACAGATTTATACTAATTATAACTAGGTACATGATATCCTAAGAAAAAAAATTAAGCACAAAGTTTGGTTAGAACATAACGGGGCTCAAAGACAGCACTGAACACTAAGAGTCTGATCCTAAACAGCTACTAGAGACAATACAAAAAGATTCCTATTGAATTCAAGTAGTTTTGGATTAGGGGCTCTATTAGGAAGTTATTAAAAAGGCAGAAAGAGTCAATGGGTGCATCTACACGTGAACTTTACTGCACAGTAGACTAATTTACTGTGCAGAAAAGAATCACCTTCTACACGTGCATAGAAATTAGGAAGGTGTAGACTAATTTACAGGACCATAAAATAGTCCCATCAGACATGGGTACAATCCAACAGTGGAATAAATTACTATGCTTAAACAAGGGGTAGGCAAAATACAGCCCATGGTTCAGATCTGGCCCACCAGACACTTTCATCCAGCCCGCAGCACCCACCAATTAATTGTACCCTCACCCAGCCCTTCTGCCCACAAGGGTTGGAGCAAGGCACCCATGCATACACACCCTGCCAACATACCCTATTGTGCCTTGTTTCCACCCTAATGGGCGAAAGGGCCCAGCCTGGCCCTGCCAGCACAGCTTCTTGGTGGGGCTGCTGCTGCCACTGCTGCAGCCACCAGGGGACATCCTCTGCTTCCCCAGTGCCCTGCTCGCTCTGGGCGGCAGGTAGGGAAGCAGTGGGGGGCAGGGGCAAGAGCTGTAGTTGGGCAGGAGCATGGACAGTGGGGCTGGGGCAGTATGGGGAGCCTGCACCCAGGGGGGTGGCAGCAGTGCAGAGCTCAGGGGTGGACAAGGTGTGGGTGTGAGGGAGGGTGTGGAAGGTTTGGGGACCCATCCACATTCCCCCCATGGCACAGCAGCAGCAGGCGGGGATGCTCAGGGTACCTGTACCTGACAGGGCACAGCTCCGTCCAGTGCTGCACTTTGCAGAACTCCAACAGAAGTGGAGGGGAGCCATGGCTCCAACGGCTCCAGGGTGTGGAGCTTCCCCCCTGGTGGCACACAAGTGCGGGGGCTGCACATGTGTGACAAAGAACACCAGTGATAGAGGCAGACTGGCTGGGCTGCGCTCACCACAATGTGAAGCACTGGCCAGAGCTGCACACAGCTGGGAACAAGTGCTCCCACCGCACCATGGGGGGATTATGTGGGAGCCCCCCACCCCCTCACATCCCACAAATGCCACGCACCCACACCCTGCCCCCAAAACCCTCCACATATATACACCCCCAACATATCCTATGCCCCCCACACACGTGACCAAACCACAAACCTCCCTAGCATACACACCCACCCTCCCACATACACCCCACAGAATATACAAGACTAAGAATTTATTTTCGAGTCATTATGCAATAACCTCTATATACACTACACAAACACAAACCTTGACCAAAAAATTTTTGTAATAAAATTAAAATACGTTATAGAAGCTGTTTGACTTTTAGCATATGATTTGTTTGGGTTTTTTTGGTTCCAAGATGGCAACCTTCCCTCCCAAAGGGAGTATTTCTGGGGGGCAAGGGGAGGGACCTCTGATGGCAAAGGTCAGGAGTTCTCATGCAACAGTTCTCATGTAAAGGTCAGTGGCAAAGGTTAGGGGCGGTCTTTCCAATCCCAAGATGACAACTAGGGTGTGGGGGAAGAGGCGAGGCAACTGTCGAGGGGCAGGGCTACTCATGCAGCCCTCAAAAGCTCACCAAACCTCGTTAAGCAGCCCTTCACCTGATATAATTGCCTGTTCCCGACTTAAATGCACACGTAAACAATGACGTCAGGATTAGTCTACTCTAGCTCAAATTGTATTGGAGTTTATTCAGTCACATTAATTGCATGTGTAGACATGTCCACTGATGAATAAAGAAAACCTGTATCTGTGAGCATAATCCAGAACAGCTAAGACCAACTACATAGACATTACAGGTTATAAATATTAGCTCTGTCTGAGCAGCCAGGTCCCCTTCCATTATTTTTCATTCATATAGTGAAATGAATAGGAGCAACAGATAAATAACAGCCTTGACATCCGAGACATTTATACAAGCCAAACTGCACCTACCATAGCTTTACACCAAAGGCACTTCCAATCTTGTAGGCGTAAAACACTGCCACAGGTCTTGTCACAGACTGCACATTTGGCACTAACAGGTAAATTACCCTCTAACCACTGGTGAGGCATAGCTATCTGCAAGGAAATAGTTATAAAGTTAAATATTTATGACATGAAAACTATCATTAAACTATAAAGTGGTCCCTAATCTAGTTTCAAACACTTTACTCTTTCTGCTACATCTTGGTATGTATTTTTCTGGACAAGAGTTAAGGAACAACTATGAAATTGTCTTTTTTTCCCCACCCCAATTCTAATGCTAACCTTCTAGATAATGAATCCATGCCAATAGTGCAGGCACAGCTGTGTCTGTAATATTAACACTTCTATCCAGATGAGACTTTGAAAAGTTTTGCTTTTTCATTTTCTAATGTTCTTACACATATCAATAAATCTGTTATATGCAGATCAGTAAGTTCCAAATAGGCATTGCGGGATCAGTTGTCAGTTACAAGGAAGTAAAGCAGGAGGCAATAACAGCTTCCCAATGAAAATGACAGAGTTTGGTATAAGAGGGATAGAGATTCCCTGAGCCAATCTTAAGGCCTGAGTATCCCCCAAGCTGTCTATAGGAGTACACAGATGCTAAACATGTCTTCTAGGGGAGCAGTATTTCTCTTGCTACAGATACTATGCTAAGCTTTTATAACATAGTGACTAAACAGCCTTTAGCTCTAAAAAAAATCACAACAGCTTTTCCAGACTGAGCATATCCCTCCTCCCTCCCCCAAAAGAAGAAACCATTAACTGTTGGGAAGTAGTGTAATGCTGAATATTACTTACACCATCTTCATCCTCAATGATATCCTTCCCAATGGAGGCTAACGTAGTCCACTTGCAGTTATTTGTTGCCCTGACTGCACACCTTTTATGTGCTTTAAATTTGCACACTAAAATACAGACATAAATGTACTTTATATAAATCTCTGCAAAGTATTACATCAGTTACAGTTTATTATAGCAGTCCTTGCAGGTACTCTGTAAAGCCACTGAGTACATAATACAAACAATTAAAATACAGAAAAAGCAGAATTCAAGCTCTTATTCCATCTCAAACTCACTGAACTGTGTCTTGAGATTTAATACTGCTGCATGCAGGTTGAAAAGTTATTCACTGTACTGTATTCCCTGAAATACTCTATCAATAGGTATTCAAGGACAAAATGGCAACTTTAAAGTTTCCTTGCTCTTGTCAGTTATTAATACTCATTTCAGTTATCTCATTGACTTTTAAATATATATATTTCTATAAAGAAAGTTTTTTAACCAATCGCCCACTGACATTATAAAAAGGACATCATATAAGCCGTTAGGTCAATAACTTCTTAATACAACCCTGACTACAGTAGGGGTGTGCAAAGCGGGCTAATACTCTGTTTAAGACTATAGTGGTAGAGCATTTTTTAAACTTCTAGCAGCTGCAGGATGCACACTTTCATTCACTTATATATGTTTATGAAGAAAGCCCATTTTGTCAGTCCTTCAAGATTAATTTGGTACCAGTATCAATTTCCAGGTGCAATTCTAGGTATTGTTTTGACCAATAAAAACAAACCAATGCTTTGGGGTCCTGCCCAACCGGGACACCATCTTACTCAGGCAAGATGTGATGCTCAGACAGAAAGGCCTTTCTAGAGCTCTCTTCTCTTCTTTGTCCATGGGACCCCTTTGGGAAACACTGCTAAAAACCTGTTTCCTCAGACTTTGAGTAAGCAGAGAATTGGGAAGAGATGTTATCTATTCATTACATTGGAGGTTAGCTCTGATAGGCTACCTAGATAAGGATGACCCTACCTTTCTATATTGGAATATATATGAAGTTCGTAACAAACCTTGACAAGGGATCTGTGCGCCGATTGCATGTGGATAACTAGTAGTCTAAATTATTTTCTGTTTGACTTTATTAGCATAACCATATAATGAAATTGTATTGTACCAATCTGACTGATGGGTACAGCTGAAGTCAAGTCTTTATGTTAATGGAAATATATGTGGAATGATCGCATACAGTGCATTATATAATTATGTTGGTATTATATACTTATGTATAAGAACATTCCAACAGAGTGCAGGCAAGCTCAGTAGTCTTTTTTTAAAGAAGTCTTAAGATGGAAAATGATAACTTTGGTCCATAATTCATCCAACACTAAAAGTGTTAAGACCTGGCATAAAAGGTGCCCTGAACCAACACTTATTTATGCTTTTAAAACCATTGGCCTATTACCATATTATTTATCTTAGAAAATGAACAGTAAACAACCTCTGAGATTGCTCATGCCTTGAGAAAGCCATGCTAAACTCTTTTGAAAATCTGGTTTATGCACACCATGATATGAGGCTATCAGAAAAAGAGCAGGACAGTACTCAGTGGATACATCTACATGGCAGTATCATGCATCTGAAATTATGCAGTGCTGTAACAAAACGTCCCAAGTAGCCCAAGAAGTAGGTAACTTTATCTAGGCAGCCCCTGACAGTGAAATAAATGCAAATCAGTTTATGAAGAATGCAGCACCCCCACTCCTCCAGTGGACATACTGTTATGAGGGTACCTCATTAGGCTCTGACCCTCCTGTTAGCTCCCTATTTGTTTCTATTGCTATATAAGGGGCTCAACTCTGATCTACAAAGCCATCAACATCTCAAAACTAAGTTACACTGTAGACTGCATCTTCACCCATGACTAACTAGAATAGCTGTGCTATAGGGGTGTGCAAAGCAGGCTGATTTAGGAGACAGTGATTTGATTCATTGATTCAGATCACTGTCCTGATTCGATTCAGCTAAATCCGAATCTGAAGATTCGATTCTGATTCGGAGAATCAGCAGTTCGGCCAGGCACAGCTTTATATGCTTTTTCTACATACCTCGCATGGCTCATGAATGCTGAGATGGTGGGGTGGATGGAGCATCCCACAGGAGCACAGGCCCGCCCCCCCGCCCCCCGCGTTCTCGATAGTGGACTCAGAAGCGGACTGGCAGTACTTCTGGTCCACTTCCAGGTTCACCACCAAGCATATGGGCCCCCTGTGCCCTCCCAGCTCGGCAATCTGCTGCGGAAGATCCCAGATGCCCCCCAGACCCAGGACGCACCAGTCACCAAGCCAGGGGAGAAGGTCCCCTGTGTGCTCCACAGCAGACCCGGAAGTGGACCAGAAGTGCTTCTGGTCTGCTTCTAGGTCCACTGCTGAACACACTGGGGACCCCCCCCTCCACACACACACACACACACACACACACTTCCGCGGGACACTCTGTCCACCCCACCATCTCAGCGTTCACAAGTTGCCTGGTACCTTGAGGTATGTATAAAAAACATTTAAAGCTATGTCTATGTCAGAATCATTGAACCTCTCTGAATCAAATCAGAAGCTTCTGATTTGATTCGGAGAGATTAATGGGTCTCCTGATTTGATCTGCAGATTCGGCTGCTGAATCAGGCCAAATCTCCTCCAAATCGAATCAGCGACCAAAGCTTCACACAGCCCTACTGTGCTGCTCTGAAACAATGCAATATATAAAAAACAACAGGGGCAAGAAGAGAGAGGTAGGAGTTCAGCTGTAGAATGAAACTCCAGATGGGATTAGATAAATCCTTAATATGGTAATCTTTAGGCCATCTTGCAAGACCCTCCATTCTCCCTGAGAAAGCAAGGCTACAACTGGAATGATCTGTTTAAAGAATGTATTGATGTATATAACCCAAAGAGGACTGCTTACAACAACAACAGAAGGAAAAGGAACTCCCATGCAGTCCACTAGTGGATCTTGCCATGCAATAGTAATCTTCATCTGGTAAGAATTTAAATGCTGTAGCAACACGCACTACAGAAAACCAAAAATGATAAAGAATTAGAGAAAACAGGAGCACAGGAGAGCATTGTGTGTCCTTTCTCCATAACAATTCAGTGCAGAAGTTACCATCCCCACTCCTGGGTCTAACCTCTAGCCAGTCTGCCTGGCCTGATAAGTTTGGTCTATAGCTGCTGATTTTAACTCACAAATTAAGACCCAGCCCCAAATAAAATGTAGTATATATATATATCCATCTCCAGCCCTCTAGCAAAAAGGTAAGAGCCCGGCATGCAACAATCCCCATGTGTTCTGTAACCACACAGCTACTTGTCTATTATATGGCTGTCCAAAAGCAGCCCTAACTGCAAACCCATCCAACACCTGGCAGTGATTTCAGCCATATGTTTCTCACTCTGCGTATTTCTGGTAAACGAAACTAGCACAGAACAAATTCATAATGGGGACGTTGATGGCAAATGTCCAGCTTTTCCAAACAGAGGATTTTGAAATTATTTTCCAAAGCAATATATACTGGCCCTTTTATTAATGTTGCTATTTGAAGATCAGGTTTAAAACCAGAACACACATCTTAACTACCACAGAATCTAGCAAATATAACACATTAATCTCTTTGATTTAAAATGATATTAGAGATGATCAATAAATAAGTATGCTACCAAACACCATCTGTAGCATCCAGATATATTCCTGAATATCAACTGACAATCCGCTTATAAGAAAAACTGAGAGAAATTTGCCAGTTAGAAAACAGCTTAATCATAAGAATACAGGATCTTTTTAAAAGTGTAATTTTTAAACTGCTCTTATTAAGTACAAGAGCCAATCAAGCAGATCATTTAAATTAGTCAGAAGTTGTTATAGCTGCACCAACATCTGCTGCCAAGCACGATTAAATCTCCCCCAATTATTAGGCACCATAAAATCAAGGTAACACTGTCATAAGACTTCTTACATTGAAAACAAATTCTCTGTTGTAAAGTAGTTCTGCCTCAAAGGCATTTCATTCTCCTGATTTATTTATTAATTAAACTATATTGAAAAAAAGTGCATATTCTAGAAAGCCTCAATCTAGCACCTATCTTTTTATTGGTTTTCTTTTTTGGTGGTTTTCAAAGAACAGCTGCTTACTCGTACAGCTTTTTCTGACTTCAAAAACTAGAGCTGAAGTTTGGAAACCGACAAGAAGATCACTATACTATCACCCATTGTTTAACTTGTCAAGAAACAAACAGTTGTCTTTTAGGATTCTGTGAAACCTAGTATTTTGTTTCCAAGAATACAAATACACATAAGGTTTACAAAACCACACTGAAAACAGATCCAGACACTGACAAGAAAGCAAAAAAATCCAAATGCTCTCCAACTGCAAGGTAAATCCTGTTTAGGACAAAACTCAGTGGCCTCTTGTTGGTTTCTTCACTGGCATGCAAATACAGTTAGCTGTAACAAATAACATATTACATTACACACATTAAAAAAACTATCTGAAAGATTTGTGATGATTGACTTGGCAATCTAAAAATTGAAATTGCCAAAATTAAGGTAATCTGTAAGACTCTCATTTGTCTCCCTAATATATGTGCATTATGATATAGTGTCTAGTTATAAGATCATATTTTTTCCCCACAGAAGCCCTGCCTCATTCACTGTTCAGGTGGACAGGTCTCAATTAATGAAAGTCTATTCTGTTTTGTTTTATCTGCATTGTCAGTGTATGGCTCCACATGCCTTATATAATGGATACCATTCAAACTTTTCTTTAAATTATTCATTTCTTCCTGGGAGCTGCTCTATGGGACTCAACATTGCATTTTCTGAGTGCTTCACAAACTTTAATTAAGTTACTTTCACAATGCCCCTATGAAATGAGGATATATCTATCTCCCCCCCCGGTATAAAACTGGGATGAGACAAAAACTTGAGGTAAACACATCTATGAAAATTTAGGCGCCTAAACTGAGGCCAACTTGGACTTGATCTTTCAAGGTTTGCATATACAGTGATGACAGTGGGTCTCAGAGAGGATAGGGTCCCATCCAACAGGGCCTGCTGATACACTCCAGAGCTGAACTTTACCAATTAAGCTGGTTCCAGGCTCATCCTCCAAACACTAGTTCTCAGAGACAAAGAACCAGAAAGCAGGTGCTGGGAATGAACCTGGAAAAGTCTCACTAGTGAACTTCCAACTTTACAGCACGTCAGCAGGCTCAGGTGAACAGTATGTACTCAGCTCCATGTTCCCCAGGACATACACAGCCAAGGCACAGGCAAGTATCAAAACACTTAGTATTATGCAGTCGTCGGAATATTCCAAATACTGATCAGATCTTGCTGACCTCAAGTTGCCATTTTGTGTATTCGGCACTTACACACAAAAGACCACAAGGCACCTAGGGAATCAGGAGCAGGCAATTAATGGGCACCATGGAAATCTGGGTTTAAGTAACTTGCCCAGCAATTCAAAGGACCTCTGGCACATGCAGGGCAGCATTCATCTGGCTTAACTGCAGGACCATTGTTGTGCATCCCTCATCTATCTTTCACTACAAAACTTCCAACACCTGCATCAAGACACAGGCTCCGATATAAACAGCATATAGTACAGAAAAGTACCAACACGATATTAAGAAACAGGTAGTTGAACTAACATAGTGGAAATATAAACAGGAGCAGCCACTAAACAAGAACTGAGTCACGTAATACTTGCAGAGGATGTACAAGAGTACAAGCAGCAAGCAAACAAAATGAGGTTGCTAGCCAAATAAATTAAAAGGGGATTGCAGACTTTAATGGGCACATATCACACAGGGACAAAGTGGGAGTACTGCACTATTAAAAAAAGATTCAGTCTATTCATAAAAAGGAGAAAAATAAATAAATCAACATCCAATTCAGATACTGCTTTCTAAAGATGTTTTTAGAATATTTCAGTGAAACCAAGGAAAACATATATTTCAATTATCAGTCAAGAAAGATAATCCTGTAAAAATTAATTAAGAATAGGCCAAGGGTATTTGAATATCTACTAACGAACCAGTCCAAATTGTGGGCATGTTCTAATATCCATTACATTTGTAAACAAAGCTGCTCTGATGTTTTATGCCACCACCCTATTTAAGCACACAGTGCAGAACTAGTTTTCAACTAGGGAAGAGAACATAATCCTGACAGTTACTTTCACATAAAAGTTGACATCCAGCCTTAGTAAATTAAATGAAGCAAAACAAGGCACTGTCCTGTTAGAGGACAACAGATTCAGAGCAACAAGGGACACACATTTACAAAGAATGGCGGTTGCTAAAAAACTTATTTTAAGTAGAGATACTATCACCTGATTTACTTTATGAAGCGAACAGAGTAGATGCAATATATTTTAAGTTGGTTCAGCATAAGATAATGGTGTCTCCTAAAATTTTACTTTAAAAACTGCCGTTTAACTGACTGAAAGGTGAGGGAAATGAACAACAGCAGCCATGGGCAAAGCCAGGATTTAGTAAAGGGAAGACACATTTCTGCCCACCCAGACTATGATTGGGAAGGGAGAGGGCTGTGGCTGAAGCTCCCAGTTAGCAGGGGATACTGGGGATGAGCCAGAAGCAGGCACATGAAGTGGGCCACTCCCCCTCATTTGACAGTTCTGGTGCTGTCCCTGGCTGAGCAGGTTGCGGGGGAGCACGGACACCAAAGCCACTCCTGGCCTGTGGGGAGCAGCTTCATGGGGTGCCAGAAGCAACGGTGCACAGTTACCTCCTTCCAGTCCTTGCTATCTGCCTGCTTCCTCTCTCCCCCCACCCAGTGTCCCCTCAAGGCCAAGGGCAAGTACCAAAAGGAGAAGCCGGTGTATTACTGCTGCTATCCCCCAGCTGAGCCCAGCTCCCTATAGCTACTCCCTGCAGCACAGGGGAAAAATGGATCTAGGTATCCACCTGTGCTTGCATCAGCTGAGGACAGTTATGGCAGCACGTAAGTTCCTCCTTCCAGTGCCTGGTCTCAGCCAGCAAGGGACATGGCAGGGAGCAGGCTATAGAAGGAGGAAAAACACACCACCTCCACTGTCCCTGGATGAGTCTGGCACCCTGCAGAGCCACACTCAGAACTGAGCAGAAAGGCAGGAACAGTTTTGGGGCTCCAGCTGCATACAGACCAGCGGGTGACAGTGGGTGACAGCAACAGGAAGGTGGTGCAAGTGCACTGCCACATGCGTCTGGATTCGCCCCTAACAGCAGCCAAGGTCTGTCTCATCTATTTCACATCTAACTTCTGGACACATACTGGTTTTACTTCCTTGGTTATATACAGCTAAATGCCTCCAGGTATCAAACACTTTGAATAGGAGGCTCCATAGCACAGTTTCTTTGGTATACAAGCACACCCACACACTCAACACTATTATATCAAAGAAAGGTAACAGAAGTTCACACAGTTAGGTAACAGGCAACTTAAAATCAAGTTCTGAATAGATATTTTTTGTAATAACTATTTACTGTATTTATTTAATTATATTTTATATAACTACAACAGTGTGCTGCGTAGTGTTTGTTTTTAATTAAATGTCAAATCCCTCATATACATAAGTATTTACATATCTACTATTCATATAATCTACTTTTCTCCTCAGTGAGAAAGCACCACCAAAGGTTCAGCATACATTGTACATATCCTATCAGGTCACGTATTACACTTACTTCTGTCTTCTAGAAAATAAAATTTACTTGTAAAAGGCAATTTATACAGTGCAGTTTTAACGCTGCATTTTTAAACACATCATCTTTTTTGCTGGTTTTTGGATATTGGCTCTTAAATTATCAAATTACATAAGAAAGAGGTAGAGAAATTCCTCTCCCATTACAACCACATCAAAGGATCAGTGAAGAAGCACATGTTATGTTTCCCATTGTATACTGCAATATCAATGAGCAGAAAGAAAATGACAGAATTGGTGATCAGACAAAAACTAGAAGGGAACAAGTTGGTCATGATTCCATCCAAGAATGGAAGTTTCAGATTTTTGCCAGTAGGAAACTATTAATATTTATTTTGCTTCCCCCTGCCCCTGCTTTTTTTTTTGCCAAAAGGACTAATATATTGATTCTCAAGACAGAGGAAATAATATGTTGCTATTTTTGTTCCTTCAGTTTTAAGTCAAATCAAAGTACTGTCCTCTCTTGGAGAGAGAATGCTTGGGTATTCAAAAAATGATATTTACAGCAGAAGGAAACATTTATACAGAAATGGAGTTAAAATAAGATGTAGAGAGTTCAAATAATGTATGTCACTGTTAGCAGTCATTCTATCCAAGAAAAATACTCCCTTCTGCAGTACCAAGTAGAATTCCTCTTATTCCAAAGTATTTATAGCATAATTACCTAGTTTAGACTATTAGTTCTTCATTAGCTTACATGACATTAGAGAGAAGAAGAAAGTGATTTTACCTTCACAAGATAGGCCATGAGAAGTAACTCCAGAGAGGCTCTCTCTGCACACATTACAGAAGGTAGGTCGGGCATGGGAGCAGGCGTACCAGTTATGCATCCCTGAGAAATGTTCCACATTAAACTGTGCCGTCTAGTAAAGGAGAAGTTAAGACAAATTTGCAAGTACAGAACAAAGCTACAGCAACTGAAAGTACTTAGGAGTTCTATACGTACTGTGGAAATTTAAAAGTGCATGAGAAGTATTTTCAAAGGGGGTTTTTAGCTATCTTTCTTAAAACCTCAAAAAAGGAGCATAGTGACAAATTACACCAGTAAAATAACGGTCTGACACAAAGCTGTATTTTAATTTAAAGGTTTTTCAGGTTTAAAAGCTCTATTGCTTTGCTTCTGTGTACTGTAGCTTGATCTGTTAATATTTATCATGAAAGAAGAATAAAGATGAACTGAAAGGGATATTATCTTACCTCATAATGTTCTCTAGATTGCACAGACTTCAGGGAGCTGATCCAGTCCTCCATTTCTTTTCTGTTCTCAGCACACAATATGAGCCTCCTAAATGGAGTGATTATCTGAAAAAGATTTCTTATTTTAATGGTTTTCGGTAGAGAAAATCATTATAGAATGCAACATCAGACAAACCAATTTCTTTTCTCACCCATGCAAGTGAAACATACATCATAAGTATATGTTAATAAAAATCTTGATTACTACTACTGCTTTTAAAATGCAAAAAATAACTTTCCTTTTTCAATGCCTAAATATTTGTGTCAGACTTTAGTATATTGCTTTAAATACATTGTTCATGTTTCTTTTTCATCTTTTTGTTTACATACTGCATTTGTAAATCTCAAATGGGAAGCTATGAAATTCCTAAAAGTCTTTCTGGAAATTATTATTTTAAATAGAATTCAGCTCTTTCATAACAAAATTATAGCAACTGCAGAGTCTATAATTACCACAGACAAAGACAAATCATGCTGATAAACAAAAGCCTGAGATTCAAAAACATTCTGCACATTTCTCACTCCCACACTGGTGATGACATATTTGCATAATTGTTGTAATAAAAAATAAAGACATGATTTATGAGTTAATATAAAACCATAAAGACAAGCTGTATAAAAACACATACAAAATAGCAAAAACCTATGTAATGATGCCCTTACAGTGGTCCAACTCTTGGAACAGGTTGAGGATGTGCCACATTTAAAGATCTGGACTTAGATCCTTGATGCTGTATTTAGCTTGAAATCTGAAAATTGCTAAATCTTAGAGATGCAGAGAAAAGGCTGTTTTCCCCTCTTCTCCGAGTACTGGAGACACAATTATAAATAACAGTAAGGCATCACAAACTAACTCCCACTGAAATTATTTTGAGAACTGCACTAAAATAGATGTTGCAGTTACTTTCAGAACAATGAGGGTATTTTAAAGAAATGCAAAAAAAGTTATTTTTTTTGTAAGAAAACAATTTAAAAAAAAAAATCTAAATCCTCACTCATAGTGAACATATTATATTATCCATAATACCAATGCTTTCAAATCACATAAGTAAAATAGAAGCCAAAACCACAGAAAAATGGTTAATTGCCATAACCGAGGTTATCGTTGTAGAACTTCTATCCTGTCATGCTATTCAGATATTATAAGTAAATTATTCACATAAGTTTTTACTCACCCAGTCCCTGCCAAATATCTTTTACCACTGGTTTGTGCTATGTACTTCTTCATTAAACCAAACTGCACTTTAATATATCTGACAAGCAACCTAACTGAACTACAGCACAGTAGGAGTCACATGGACAGACCTTTTGGCTTTTTTTTTTTTTTCAAATGTACAAGCTGCACATGAAATTAGAGGACCTCTCTCTGTTTTCTGTTTCATTCAGTCTTGCCAACCTTTTCTTTTTTTTTTATATGAAGGCTTATTAGCATCTGCCTATGACTCTTCCTGAATAACATTTAATGCAAAGAGCAGTGCTTTTCTTATCAGTTAGGAGCCAAATAAATACTTTATTACTTCAAAATATTTTTTTCTAGGACAGATCATCAAATAAAGAAGGGAAGCCATTAAACTGTAACATAACCCTGGTTCTAATACAAGCACCATTCTTCAAGAATCTCCAGGCTTCACTGAACTCATAGCTGTTATTTGTGCTGATTCTACCAGCCTTGATTTCTGCTATCAAGTGTTGCAGGTTTGTTGGTTGTAGCTGTGTTGGTCTAAGGACATAGATGGCCCAGGTTTTTTGGGTAGATGTGATACCTTTTCTTAGACTAACTAAATAGTTGAAAAAAGTTCTTTGCAAGCTTTCGAACACCAACACCCTTTGTCATGCATAAGGTGACACATAACACGAGCAGTCTCCCCATGCCTTGACAAAGAGTGTTTGTCCCCAAAAGCTTGCAAAGAACTTTTCTCCAACTATTTAGTTGGTCTAAATAAAGGTTATCACATCTACCCAGAGAACCTTGCTTGCTATCAAGTGTGACATCAAAACAAGGATTCCTTCTGTTCTATTCTAAAGTAAGGACAAAGTCTGCCTTAGTCATAGCATTCTAGCCAATTTGTGCCACGTTATTTATTGTATTCTGGGCAAGAGCCAGGAGTTGTGAAATGCCTGTAATACACATCACTTGCACTTAATGCTGAAGGTTCTTGAAAAATTCTTGATTATTTTCAAGATAAATTAAAGATCATATATGTTGAATACCAATCTCCTTGATTACATCATTCATACAGACACTCTTGACTGAAAAAGTAACTACTGAGTATAAAAAGACATAGCAATCTAGGGTGCATTTAATATTTGCCCTTACAAATAACAATAGGTTGTAATACAGTCATTAAGATAAACTGATGATTACGTATATATGTTAGATACATTATTAGAATTATTAAAATAAACTGTAAGGTTGCAAAAGCCATGTATATATGCTTATGTACAGTGCACGAAAGGCTACAAAGATTAATCTACCTATATATTTTTTCTGATTTACATACCTTTAGCAAGCTTCAGGGAACAGTCTGGTTATTTTAATGGGGCACAACATATAACAAAAAACTTGACATTATATAAAATAAAATATGTATGTCAAAACAACATTAAAATAACTGCAACATGAGAAATGCAATTAAATCAGGGTTCTGATTCTCACTAAGAAAGGGTGTCACCCTAAATTGAAAATATTCTTATGTACATAAAATTACTTCATCCCTTCTCCCTCAGTACATTACCTCACATTTATCAGTAGCCAAGCTTATCTCCTCGCATGCAGCAACTATTCTAATTCCTGGCTAATTCTTATGAAAGTTCTGTCCTCACATACACACAGCTCCTGTTCTTACTGTTAATTACCCCAATTACTATTCTGTAGGCTAAGGGCTTGTACAGCCATTTGGGGAGGTTAGGGGAAGGTTAGATTGTTAAAAATGGCCACCTGATCTAGCTTTGTTCACCCACATGCAGACCTTACACTTAGATCCCTAGTTAGGTCGCTCCAAGTGCAAACTGTACATAAACTCCAGGTAGGTTAGATAAGTTAAAAAATAGTCAACCCAATCTTATTTAATTGTACTTCAGAGGTGCATTAAGTTAGACTGGGCCCTGGATACACATTCCCAGAACAGCCCAGAGGCTGAGAAAGCCCAGCTGCTGGATCCAACCCTAGGGCTGTGCTTTTCATACCCTCTACCTTGCACCGGGCTATTTTTACCCCGCCTTGGCCTCACTCCTAGACAGACAACGCACTCCCCACAGACCAGCCAGCCTCCACCCTCCACAAGCCCACCAAATCCCCCAATCCTGCAAACTGCTCCAGGTGCCAGTTTTTACAGTGTTTGCCAGTGCCAGGACTCGATGGAAGTAAGTCTGAGTGGAGGGAGGGACAGGTGGGATCAGGCAGAATTGGGTTCACTATAGGGGGAGGTTTGTTTTGTTTTTTCTAGGGGTGGGAATGGTTGGAGAGGCTAAAAATAGCCTCTGGTTGGGAGATGGGGGGAGAGCCCCCCCTAATCCCACCAAGCTCTCCCTCCCAACTATGGAGTTGCCAGCCCCTTCCGATCCCGTCAACTTCTCCTGTGAAACTGGTCTACTGTCCTTTAGTTGAATGTGATGTATGGCATAATATCATTATATGCTTCAGTTAGAAGCTATGTAAAATCTTGCCTAGAATATTAATGCACTCCCACAATGAAAACTATTATTTAATATTAATTAACACTATCAATATTGAAATAGGAAGGCAGACTCATTTGTGGTCTTCTGGAACTCTGAATGTTTCTCCTGCTTGCTGTAACTATACCCAAAACTAAGTTTTATAGTGTCAATGCATCCTGTCTTACAGTTGACCCCAATACTTGAAAAGCACCATTGGGAACAGCATCAACAGTTTGGAAAGCTGGTCTATCTGAAGTTCTGGATAATGATATAATTAGTCGTCATAAACAATGTGAAAAGCATATTCAGGAAGCACAAATAATACATATAATGATTAGGAAAGTAAAGCTGTTCACATCTCATGAGGAGATACAGCAGTGACTGCAAACCGTTCAACATCCTGGAACATGATATCTATATTTAAAAGAGCTTTATAAAGTTTTAAATTCCTGTTAGGCATTACACTAATGGCATTTGATATGGGCACTCTTGGATTCATTTGTTATTCAATGCAGCAAGGCTAACCATAATTAGAGTTGTGTGGGAAATGTTTTTTTCACCCTCTGAACACTGAGATTTCAAATTTTCTTTCTCCATCAGAAGAGATCCAAGAGCCCTTGATTTAAAACAAAACAAAAACTGGGGATGAAAAGAAAATACCTCCCTTAAATTAGTCAAAGTGCCTGGGACACTTGCATGGAAAAAATGATAGGAAATTCCTGCTCCATCATATTCATACCAGGTACTGGAACTGAGGTCTCTCACATCCCATTGCCCTATCAGTTAATTTGGATATTCTGAAACAGCAGTCCCTCAATCCTGCCTGTTGGGCCTGTTTACCTCTGTATAAGTGGGTGTCTAGTTAAATTGCAGGTTCATGGATTTCACAGTTTTTTTGCCCATGAAATCAACAGCAACAACAACAAAAACTAATAAAAATAAAATGCTGGCTCCCCAAGTGTGAGCCTTGCTACTACTGCGGCCCAGCCTTGCAGCCTGCCCAGGAGGGGAAGGTGCCTGCTGGCGGGGCAGCACAAAAGGAATCAGAAAAGGTGCTGCACCCACTACTCCCTCCTCCTCCCGGCAGCTGTCTCCTCGCCCCTCTCCTCCCCAGGCCTCTCCAGCAATCAGCAGTGATGGGCAGCTGCTGGAAAATGCCCACAAAAACCAGGTCTTTGTGCTGAAAATTGCTTTGTCTTGCTGCAAGTTAAGTAGACCCCTACACATAACTGATTAAATAGTCACTATAAACACATCTTGAACCTGGTTACTTTGTGGGTCTCCCACATCCCAGCTGAGTATCCTGCTTAAGTTTGGACTATAAACTCCATCTTTCTTGTCAAAAGTTTCTATGAGAATTTCAGTGCTGATAAACAGGTATGTTCTGATAACAATTTTTATTAAAAAAA